CATAGTTATTGTCGAGTGCGGAGACATCCGAGTAGTTCCGAGTGGTTCCGAGTGCATAACCGTACACAAAGAAAGCATGGAGTATATCGGAATTGAAACCAGAGCAGTATGATGCCCTGCATCATTATCTACTGAGGGATGATGTATTTTGCGTGCTGCCCACAGGTTACGGCAAGTCCCTGATATTCAGCCTTATCTTTGATTGGTCCGGATTTGAACAAAGCGCGCTTTGACTCGTTCGCGTTCATTGGCTAGATCGTTCAATGAGTCATTGAGTGCGGGCTTTAAATTTGATTGGCGGGCGGCGGGGGCACTCGAATCTGGTCAGAGGTTACTTGACACGATGGAGATAGGCTACAGTGAAAAGGTTAGTGTCAAGTTAGCTCTGAAGCTCAGGGTGACGGTATCTGGCCTTGGTACTTAAAATCAAACATACCAATCAAAGTCTACTGTACATTACAACACCATGCAGAAAAAATCCCCCCCAAAAAGGCTGATTTAATTGGTTGTACTACCTCTGAGACTATAGATGTCCATTGCTGAGCCAATCCGTGCATTGGTAACACCCTTGTATGGACGTACTGATCATTGAGGACTTCTGCTATAATTGCACACCTGAAAAGAATATAATATTACAGACCTCAGTCCATAGATACTGTACATATATGTAATTCAGGGGAAAGGGGGTAGATAAAATGTTTTAGATCATTTTAAAACATGACTAGTGCTAGCCCCAGACTAAGTAGCATTGAGTGGGGTTTCTAGTTTACCTCTTTATTTTATTTATGTGTGTGTACATGTACCCACTACATATCTATATATCCACTTCTACTTAAAACAGGTGTTTCCTTCTCTTGGTTGGGTCTTATCTTTATCAAAACACTGGGTATTTAATTTACATTGCACAGTATAAAAGGCAGCAAAGTTCAGTTTTACCGCATGACAAGGAGTGACTTTTCCAGCTTGAGAGAAATGGTTCTTGTCGCAAGCATCAAATCCACATATTCCTTTTCAGGAAGATTGAAAACACAACCCTGGGGGAGAGCTTTGGGGACCAGTACGGTTTCCCCAGGGCTGGCTTGAAATGGGTGTAGGAAAGCCAGGTGGTGGCTATCTTCCCATATCTCCCAGTGCCGTATTAAACCTGAGAGAATGTCCCGTAAAAGGTTTGGAAATCTGGACATGGTATTTCAACTGATATTTGTTTGGAAAACCTGAAAAGAAATATGAAATATGTCTAAAAAATATGAAATCAATTTAATAGAAAAACCTGGACATGAGAAAAATGAATCTGGAAATGATGGTAAAAACTAGTACGCAGTACAGGGTACCATGACATGTACTCCTAACTGTCAGGCTCACAATGTCACATGACAGCTCACACTGACATACATGTAACACTGTATAATTTACTTAATACATAATGGGCCTGAAGTTTCTTGCAAACGCAAATATTTCACAACCACCATCTCTGTGTACAACTAAAAAACAATTCAAAGAATAAGTATATCTATAAGGACAATCGCACACTGTGTAGGACATAAAATCTATTGAAGTTTGGGAAAAAAAGAAAGTGAAACCTGCAGTGCACGTAAATTGACTAATTGGCATCAATGAGATCATTCAGTATTTTACTTACCGAAAGTTGTCCGAAAAGTGATCTCGGTAATATCAACTCTAGATGATAAATCTCAATACGATCATCCAGGACTTGGCAATCTATGTTCAAAGATCACATTCAAACACGCAGTTTTTTAATATTACTGTTAATATTATTTCACACCTGTTGCAACAAAACAGGAAGCAAAATATAATGCTGGTTAATTTCACACCTCCACTCTAGAAGAGCTTCGCGTTACTACGCCTCAAGACAAGCTTTATAAGATTTTGTGTGAGAGGATCGGGGGGGGGGGGGTAGGGGGGGGCATATTACACATTTTAAAGTGTAATACCTCATACCTTGTACTTCGAAATGATACACTACCTTCTAGTAAGAACAAAAAGTTCCTGCATTTCTTGTAGTTGACTTTAATTTGAATATGTTTAAAATAAAATAAAATGTTATATAAATATTTTTAAAGTTTTGTCTTCGAATGTGTCAAGTTGGTGGTCTTGGGCCGTTAAAGATGTGAGTTAAAACAAACCCACAAATACAATATCTGGCTACAGGGTTCAAAATACAGCTGATTCCACAAGGAAAAAAAAAGAAAAGATGAATTTTAAAAAGCAAAAAACATTTGAAAACCCATTTTGACACAGTGTCACTGAAACTGAAAATCTCTGAATTCATGACAAAGATACATTTTACCTTTCTACTGAAAACAGTCATTTAAACTCATTTCGGTGATGTATCCATATCTAATTAATACATGTATAATTCATGTATGATCAATTTAAAGGGCGACAAGGGCCCCATTGCAGAGAAATCGAGATTTTTCCACATCTTGGTTGAAGCGGGGTTTGTTCTTCTGTATATCAAAAATAAATCATGAAAGAATATCAAGTCATCATGTCTGTACACTCGAAACTGCTTCTTTGTTAAAGAAAAAAAAAAATCCTGTTTTTTTTTTTTTTTTTGGGGGGGGGTCATAAGATCAAATTTAATAGATAAAGTTGTGTGATCATAAGTACGTGTTTAAATCAGTGGCGGATTTGGGGGGAGGGGGTCAAGGGGGGTTCTGATTCCCATCTTGAATAAGAATTTTGCCTACCTGAATCATAGTTCTAAAGAGTACCAAATGGCACCGTTTGCCCTCTAAAATACCAAAAAAGGGGGGTGAAGGGTCGGCTTCGCCTCTGCAGACCCCACCTTCAAATAATCCTGGATCCGCCCCTGCATATGGTTATAAATCGAATATATTACGTCATTAAGGGGCGTTCAGTGAAGAATATACGGTCATCAACAGCAATTCAATGCAACACATTTTGTCACTGTGTGGTTCTCACAATATACGGCCCCATAGACGTCTGGGCGGAGAACTTCCCATTTTCAATTGTGTTAGGTGAGCCAGTGACGGAGAGCACACGACTGCGTCGCAACTAACACACTGACCGACACTGTTGCTGGTACAAATATATTTTTCCGCTTTATAATAAAACGATTCCTCATTGTATTAAAAGAAAGATAAAACGATAACAAATAAATAAAATTATTTTCTGTCGTATTTTATTGACCCTCAAAGAATTTTCTGTAGAAGAAAGAATTAAAATTGCATTTATTATCTTCCCTACCCTCTCTTAAACATNTTGTAACCATGGTTACACTCACCTTGCTGCTAACATTAAAGAAACGTAGTCCTGTTCTTCTATTGCAGGAATGTTGCTTGATAACCGTTTCCGTGGCAACAGGACAGTAAAGCCCGGAGTGTTTGGAAAGGGAGTCAAAACAGCCACATGGTCTGTGTAGAAGACAGATCAAGAGAAAATTATTAATCATTTTTTTCCAGTATAATTTTGGAGTAGAAATTTAAATAGCAAAAGAAAACTCTCATCACGAAATGTAATGGGTACCTGTACAGGGTTGTATTTCCCATTTACCCCATCCATTAGCAGTCTGTGACATTAACCACACCCATTTACCCCATTCACTAGCAGTCTGGGACATAAACCACAGGCACAGTTTCCAATGCCAGGACTTATGTCTATAACATCTCTAATAATTTTTAATAATAAGACCTGTCCAGGCCTGAGGATATTTTCACAACTTTTAAGTTCATGTTTGTTCTAATAAATTCATTAAAGAGGGGCTACAGCAGCTCAACCATCTGTAGCTTAGTAATGTACAAACCTTCACTTTGCCAAATACGCCACTGCTGTACTTCCCCTCTGATGATTCGACTGAAAAGATTATCATCTTTGGGGTTGCCATGAAAAGTGTAGTCTTCAACAAAAGGAGGTTGGCACTGTAGAATGGAAGACTTCACTGCATCGAGGGTATCGTCCAAGGCCTTCGGTCCATCCTTGGTACTGGTGTAGCCTTTGTATTTGTCGGAGTATTCAAGGTCCTAGAATATTATTATATGTGCAATAATATGCAAGTATTATATTTTTATGTAGTTCAGTGGCATATCTGGGAATAAGTTGGGTTGGTATCTGTGGTGGATCCAGAGATATTTCTGATAGTCTTCCAAATTACCTTTGTTGATTCATCCTTCATTTTTGACCACCTTCCAACAGAAAAAAATCAGATGTCCACCAGTGTAACTTGAAAAATTCTGACTGTCTTCTGGGAGATCCAGATGACAGCTTGTCTGCCCCTGTGGTTGTACCCACTGGTATTACCATGTTTAAGTAATTACACCAAATAGTGAGTCTTTTTCCCTTAAACCGTACACAAATTCAATCCAACTGTTTGGATCGATCAAAACCAATGCAGTTAGTTGGCTACATGGAGCGCAAGGGCTTTGATTAGATTACTCTTTTACCTAATACACTTGCTATTTTAAGTCTGAATTTTTTTTCTTGTAGTTCTATGGTATCTGGCCTTGGTACTTAAAATCAAACATACCAATCAATATCTACTGTACATTACAACACCATGCAGAAAAAATCCCCCCCAAAAAAGGCTGATTTCATTGGTTGTACTACCTCTGAGATTATAGATGTCCATTGCTGAGCCAATCCATGCATTGGTAACACCCTTGTATGGACGTACTGATCATTGAGGACTTCTGCTATAATTGCACACCTGAAAAGAGTAATATTACACACCTCAGTGCATAGATACTGTACATATGTGTAATTCAGGGGAAAGAGTTTTAGATCATTTTAAAACATGACTAGTGCTAGCCCCAGATTAAGTTGCATTGAGTGGGTTTTCTAGTTTACCTCTTTATTTTATTAATGTGTGTGTAAATTTACCCACTACATATCTATATATCCACATCTACTTAAAGCCTGTGTTTCCTTCTCTTGGTTGGGTCTTATCTTTATCAAAACACTGGGAACTTAATTTGTATTGCACAGTATAAAAGGCAGCAAAGTTCAGTTTTACCGCATGACAAGGAGTGACTTTTCCAGCTTGAGAGAAATGGTTCTTGTCGCAAGCATCAAATCCACATATTCCTTTTCGGGAAGATTGAAAACACAACCCTGGGGGAGAGCCTTGGGGACCAGTACGGTTTCCCCAGGGCTGGCTTGAAATGGGTGTAGGAAAGCCAGGTGGCGGCTATCTTCCCATATCTCCCAGTGCCGTATTAAACCTGAGAGAATGTCCCGTAAAAGGTTTGGAAATCTGGACATGGTATTTCAACTGATATTTGTTTGGAAAATCTGAAAAGAAATATGAAATATGTCTAAAATTATGAAATCAATTTAATAGAAAAACCTGGACATGACAAAAATGAATCTGGAAACATTGGTAAATACTAGTACACAGTACAGGGTACCATGACATGTACTGCTAACTGTCAGGCTCACATTCACTGACATAGTACATGTAACACCAGTGTATAATTTACTTAATGGGCCTGAAGTTTCTTGCAAACGCAAATATTTCACAACCACCACCTCTGTGTACAACTAAAAAACAATTCAAAGACTACGTATATCTATAAGGACAATCACGCACTGTGTAGGACATAAAATCTATTGAAGTTTGGGAAAAAAAGAAAGTGAAACCTGCACGTAAATTGACTAATTGGCATCAATGAGATTGAGTATTTTACTTACCGAAAGTTGTCCGAAAAGTGATCTCGTTAATATCAGCTCTAGAAGATAAATCTCAGTACGATCATCCAGGACTTGTCAATCTATGTTCAAAGATCACATTCAAACACGCAGTTTTTTAATATTACTGTTAATATTATTTCACACCTGTTGCAACAAAACAGGAAGCAAAATATAATGCTGGTTAATTTCACACCTCCACTCTAGAAGAGCTTCGCGTTACTACGCCTCAAGACAAGCTTTATAAGATTTTGTGTGAGAGGATCGGGGGGGGGGGGGGGGGTCCCTGCATTTCTTGTAGTTGACTTTAATTTGAATATGTTTAAAATAAAATGTTATATAAATATTTTTAAAGTTATGTCTTCGAATGTATCAAGTTGGTGGTGTTGGGCCGTTAAAGATGTGAGTTAAAACAAACCTAGAAATCCAATATCTGGCTACAGGGTTCAAAATACAGCTGATTGCATAAGGAAAAAAATGAATTTTAAAAAGCAAAAAACATTTGAGAACCCATTTTTACACAGTGTCACTGAAACTGAAAATCTCTGAATTCATGACAAAGATACATTTTACCTTTCTACTAAAAACAGTCATTTAAACTCATTTCGGTGATGCATCCATATCTAATTATACATGTATAATTCATGTTTGAACAATTTAAAGGGTGAAAAGGGCCCAATTGCAAGAGAAATCGAGATTTTTCCACATCTTGGTTGAAACAGGGTTTGTTCTTCTGTATATCAAAAATAAATCATGAAAGAATATTAAGTCATCATGTCTGTACACTCGAAACTGCTTCTTTGTTAAAGAAAAAATCCTGGTGCTTTTTTTTGGGGGGGGGGTGGTGGTGGTGGTGGTCGAGTAAGGTCAAATAGATAAAGTTGTGTGATCATAAGTATATGTTTAAATCAGTGGCGGATTTAGGGGGGGGTCAGGGGGGTTTCTGACCCCCCGCCCCTTCGATTTCTGGTCTCATCTTGAAATAAGAATTTTGCCTACCTGAATCATGGTTCTAAACCGTACCGAATGGCACCGTTTGCCCTCTAAAAAAAGGGGGGTGAAGGGTCGGCTTCGCATCCGCAGACCCCACCTTCAAATAATCCTGGATCCGCCCCTGTACCTGCATATGGTTATAAATTGAATATATTACGTCATTAAGGGGCGTTCAGTGAAGAACATACGGTCATCAACAGCAATTCAATGCAACACATTTTGTCACTGTGCGGTTCTCACAATATACGGCCCCATAGACGTCTGAGCGGAGAACTTCCCATTTTCTATTGTGTTAGGTGAGCCAGTGACGGAGAGCACACGACTGCGTCGCAATTAACACACTGACCGACACTGTTGCTGGTACAAATATATTTTTCTGCTTTATAATAAAACGATTCCTCATTGTATTAAAAGAAAGATAAAACGATAACACATAAATAAAATTCTTTTCTGTCGTATTTTATTGACCCTCAAAGAATTTTCTGTGGAAGAAAGAATTAAAATTGCATTTATTATTTTCCCTACCCTCTCTTAAAAATCCTATTGTTTTCACTAATGTCACCGAGGTGC